ATATATATATATATTAATATCTATTAATTTGTTTCTTTGTAGTTAAGCACAAAGTTGCACAATGGGCTAGGTTTGCTCTGCCCACCATGGGTATTGAAACCCGGTTTCTACCGTTGTAAGTCCGCAAATATACCGCTGTGCCACTGGGGGGAGGGGGGGTTACACTTTAGGGCCATATTATTCTAAAACCTTAAAGCAGAGTATTTAAAAATAGAGTTTCAAATTTACAGTGTTAATGCTATATACAAATACAATTAGATTCAGAATGGATTGTGCCCCCAAACCCTTCAAAGTTGACAAGTGTGTGTGTGTGAGAGAGAGAGAGAGAGGAATCCATTCAGGTTCTCAATGCTTCCAAGTTAAATAAAAAAATAAATGCTCACTCTGTCTTGTTTTGCACTTGCATGCCAACAAGGATCAGCCTTAGAAATCCTTAATAATCAAACACTTGACCAATATACTTGTAGTATATAAGGGTTATCAAGTTTTATAGAGAGATTATGAATACTTAATTTACAAAATGTATTTTTTACTCCACTTAAACAATCATTTGGTGTTTCTGCAAATATATAACATAAAACTAACTTACTAAAGCTTACTTTAGCTGTTTAATAAATTCCCTTAGTGATAGTAGTTACCAGTCGGTAAAATATTTTTCACCTTCTTGACAGCTATACAATGCTTCATATTATTAGGCAAAATTAGTTATCTCAAGTTAATGAATAAAAAGCCCCCCAGTAGCACAGCGGTATGTCTGCAGACTTACAACTCTAGAAACCGGGTTTCGATACCCGTGGTTGGCAGAGCACAGATAGCCTATTGTGTAGCTTTGTGCATAAATTCAAACAAACAATGAATACACAGCACTAATGAATAAATACCATTCGTATCAATATCTTGTCCTCTAACTTACAAGCTCCCATAAAAGACTAGAATTTAATATTACATAAGAATATCCAATCCCAACTTTTAATAACTGTGAAGAAAAAATGTAATTTGTACTGCATCATCGACTTGTCTTCTGACTTTCATATTCTAAGAAAGGTTAGAGTTTATCTTATGTTAATATCTCATCATCTTGGTTGTTAGGATCTGAAAATGATTGTTATATAAGTATTTTTTCACCCTACATACCAAAACTAAGTGTTTTGTCTCTAAAATACATTAGATATTACTGTATTTATTTATGTATAACTTACTAGCTTCCTAGGAAGGTTAGAAAGTGTATCAAAATCTTGTCTTGACACAAGTAGATTCACAACGCCTCCTGGTGATACATTCCTTAAAACTGCTGCTGCTTCAGCCTGAGATAGACCTGTCACTTCAATTTGATTTACCTGGTAAAAAACAAAATGTGTATTCAACATTCACTGTATTTAATTAAAGAAAAATGTAACTGTATGGTTCTGTTTGATTAAAAAGACGACAAACATCTACAGAAAAAACAAGTAAATACTAATGACAGAAATACGGTTTTGATTATTCAATCCACAGTTTCCCTTATCTTGCCTCATTTTGGATCTTAACCATTTCAGTACTTTTAGTTTAAACTTGCTCAAGTGTAAATTGGTGCAGGACTGTTTTATAATACTACCAGATGCACTTACATTACTTTCACCTCACAATATACATATATAACATCTTTTGATACATAACTGCTGGGACACACGTAACCTAACATCAATGTCTGTTGGGACACACATATATCCCCCATATGCAAATTTTAGAAACTATGCATGGTAAAAAATTTTCAAAATGTATGCTAGGTTATTGATTCTAAAACGTTTCTGGCCCACATCCCAGTTTTTGTTTAATTTTTTTTTTTTTTTTGAAGTACAAACCTAAGCCTAATTAAAAAAAGAACAACCTAGTCGCAAAATTTAACACTTTTAACACTTACCTGTTAGTGGGAAGGATATACCTGTTTTTCTGGCACAATTGAAGAATATATGGTGTGATTTATTTTTTTCAGTTTGAAGGGAAGAAAACACTGGTGAATATAAAAGTAAAGAGTGTAGTGTGTATATATGTAAATGGGAAGATAAAATTGGGCTTATTACAAATTTTATTATTTATAAACTAATATTTTTTATGTATCACCAATATTAGTTCCACATATTTTGATAATCCCTGCCCCAGGTCGTTTATATAGACTTATATCATTTCAATTTTAAAAATATAAAAGTCTCAGTGAAAGGGTTAACATCTTCTTAGATGGAATAGCAAGGGTTAACACCTGCTTGTAATATAGAGCTGTGGATATTTCATAAAACCTTAATGCCTACTAAGTTTCACCTTTGATTAAAACCAACTTAGTAGTAATTTCCAGATGCATAATTAATATAACAGATGAAAAACACCTTGATTGTTTGTTTGTAGTTAAGCACAATGCTATACAAAGGGCTATCTGTGCTTTGCTCATCACGGGTATCAAAACCCAGTTTCTAGCATTGTAAGTCTGCAGACATACCTCTATGCCACTGGAAAGCAACACACGTCGACAACCACCATTTCACACTTAAATGATGGAGAGGTAAAAACTCAATGTATCAATTCAAAACAGTAGCAGAAAAAAAAAAAACCTTTAAAAGTCTATCTCCTGGTTTCAGTCTTCCATCTTTTACTGCAGCTCCTTTTGGTAAAATATTTTTGATGTAAATCGGACAGAAGCCAAGAGCAGGATTATCTCGTGTAGTGATACTGAAACCTAAACCATCAGGTCCTGAAAAAATGGTAAAGTATAAATAGTTTTTAATAGTTTGGGTCACAAATATAGCCATTCATATTGGTTCAAAGCTTACGTAATAGAGATGAAATGAAAAAAAAAAAAGAAAGGACATTATTTGAAACCAAATTATACTAAACTATTAATCAAATTTGGTGACTACACTTAAAAGAAACATATTTTTGAAATAAATACTTAACATTCATCATTGTAAAAAGGTGGGTACAGTATTTTGTCTGTACAAAGAAGAAATGTCAACATTATAACACTACACTGTACAAAAACACTTGACAGTATAAAAATACACAGAAATTTTCAACAATACAGATCAAACTACACTATACAAAAACACTTGAGACTATAATAATACTTTTGTAATATCATATTAGAATAAGACAGATAACTTAAATTATGTCACTTTTTTACAAGCCCAGTATGGGTTTCCAAAGAATGTATAATAGCATTTCAACTTGACATCCTTTGTCAAATGTCAATGCTAACAAAAACCTTTCTCTTACTTACCAGGCTAGCTAGGCTACAACATACAAGATCTTAGTTGAAATGTTATTTATATTTGTCATCTTAAGAGTATAATACAGTTTGAATTGAACACTTCATGTTTAATGGTCAGGTACCACACTGTATACAGAACAATAATGACAGTAGTTTGTCACAGAGAACTTTCATGGTTGGAGACGGCTTGAATGGGTAATGAAGAAAAACTTATATTAAAGTTTAACAAAACCTTGTCGAAACGTTGTACATTTGCTGTTATGTTAAACTTTAATATAAGTTTTTCTTCATTACCCATTCAAGCCATCTCCAACCATTATTAGTCTCAAAGTGGGTTCCTCGTCATCGAATGAGCACTTTTATGATCAATCACTGGACTTTGAGGAATAAATGTTACATAGAACCTTTACTTTTATGGACTATCAAGAGAATTTAGAAACCAGTATCTCAACCAGTGTTCTACACTAATGTTAGGACATATGATGTGCAGAGACAGATATTTTACCTTTTGTTAGCTGCACATTAAGTTTCCTTCCCATTTTTCTGGTATTAGAAGTGAGAAGAACATTCTTTTGACCAAACGAGACTGTATTGATTGGTGTTGAAATTCTAATATCAGATTTTGGACCTGTAAGATATATTTTTTTAAATCAAGGATTTTCGCTAAAATATTGTTAGCAGTAAAGTTCCTGCTTAAAACTCAGAAACTAACCATGAGACCAATAATACCAGTTGTACTATTAATGAATTACAAAAATCAAACAGTTACAGATTAAAAACCACCTTAATAACAACAATGAATATTTAGAAAAGTGCAAGTGATTGTGTAAAAATGTTTTTAATTAAAAGTTATCTCCACAGTAACAAAACCTTCAAAAGCCTATATAAAACACTAACATTAAGAATCTTTTCAAGTATAATCTAACACCTTTTTCTTCATCTTCTTGTAATTTTTTTCTTTGGATGTCAATTCTTTCTTCAGATGAAGTACTCTTAATCCTTTCTGAAGAGGGAGAAAGACACTCTGAAAAAGATTCGGATTTCTTTCCAAGTCGAAATTCAATTTCTGGACTTTGAAGAGCATTTTTGAATATCTCTTGGGCTTCTGGAAAGTCAACATGGACTAGATTTTGTTGGTTTATCTCAACAATCCTGTCACTGACCTGCAACCTTCCATCTTTGTCCACTTTGCTACCCGGCTCTTCTCCTTGAACTCTAAGCCCATTGCCTCTGAAGACAAGTAAACAAAGATAAAGTTACAACTGTTAGCCACAAACACAGAACTTATAAATCATTCATTGTAAAGGAATGTTATTATATGGCTTTAGAATGTACCAGTAACATTCAGTTCTAAATATTGCAACCTATATTTATTTAGACTCTTAGTTTCATGTTCACAAGAATTCACTTGTATCAGTACATTTTAATTTAGGTTTGATGAAACAAAGTTTGAAATTCTACATTTACATCTTTATTGTAATTCAACTGAAAATATTGACAACTAATTAATCAATGTATTCCTTGTTTACTTGCTTGTGTTTGTATATTTTTTGTTGTTAAGTACAAAGCTACATAATGGGCTATCTGCGATGTGCCTACCACAAGTATCAAAACCCAATGTTTAGTATTATAAGTCTTAAGACTTATTGCTGAGCCACTTGGGGGGGTGGGGGGTGGGGGATAGGTCAATAATTAAAAGTATTTGTTTTTTTTTACATTGTGATACCCCTAGTAAGACCAATATATTAAGTTAGCTACATTGTTCACTGAGTTACCCATAATCTATGATCAGAAGTTATTAATAATTAACTTAGTAAATTAAGTTTCGTATAAAATACTTCCAAGCTATTGTATTTTAAATAAGTCAATTTACTGAATTTCAAAACAGAAAAAAATTAAATATCTGGATAAGCGACACTGAATAAACCTTTTTCTCCTTTTTGGATAATACCAATGAGAAGACTTACTTCTCATGGCATCTGTAAGTTGAACAAAGTTTACTTGTAATTAATAAACCTGTTAATTACTTGTGCAGATACAATACAACGTGCATAACTTGGGGTCCTTAAACCCGAGCAGATGCTGCCAGTGTCTGGCCAAAAATCCTGATTTACCCATCAGATGGTGACAACATCCGATAACATTTAAGTCTCTTTGGCTGAAAACTAATCCAAACCATGTTATTATCCACATTATGGTGATAATTATTAGGAAATCATGAAGATAATTCCAGAAGAATGTGCATCCCTAATTTAGCAGTGGAAGACTAGAGGGAAGGCAGCTAATTATCACCTCCCACCGCCAACTCTTGGGATACTCTTTTACCAACGAACAGTTGGATTGACCGTCACTTTATAACGCCCCCATGGCTGAAAGGGCGAAAATGTTTGGTGTGACGGGGGAATCAAACCCGCGACCCGCAGATTACAAGTCGAACGCCCTAACCACCTGGCCATGTCGGGCCACTTCCTTCTTGTAATTAACTTATCATTATTTTCTCAGCTACTTAAGCATACATTTTTCAGTTGTAAGTCCTTTTTGTCTAATTTTTGTGCATTTTAAACTACTCCAAAAAAGACTAAAGACCTAAGATTTTAGAGCATTATTTATTCACTGAATGTACTTAATGAATAAGTTTCACTTTCAACATATTGCTAGTAATAATACATGGAATATAAATATTCTCAAATTTAAGATAGTCAAAGTAAGGGTCTAAGTAAGTTGACAACTTGTATGAAATGATCACATTTACACACAAAAAGAGATATTCACTACTGGCACTAATCTAGTCTCTGGGGGATGATGTTACTGAATATACTATCTCATCTCTCTCAGTAAGTATAGCACCAAGCTTTCTGACACTATGTAGTAGGTTTAGACACTGATGTACCTAGCATCTAAGAAGATTGTAGAGGTGTTCTTTGAAACTTATCAAGATTTCGTGTGGGCCAATCTATGCTCTCTATGATTTCTTGTTCAAGTTAGCCCATCACAATCCTAACGACATGACACTATGTATTATTAGGTGGGTCCAATTACAAACATAAAAATTCACATAACAGGAGCCAACAGTACATCAATATATTGCTAAATAATTAATTTTGCTCAAAAATACTAGTGTTTTCCCACATCATAAGTAAACCCTCATGGAAGTTGTAATGTTCAATAACATTGCAACGATCATTTCAATCAGAACTATCCTGATGCAAACCTGTCAATTACATGTAGAGATAGAAGGCCTTGACCTAAAGGTGAAGAGTACAGATGACCAATGGCACCAAAGAGCTGTGTAATGCTGTACCACGTGATCAACTTCAGCAATGATCTTAAACCAAATTCCTGAAATCTGTTCCTTACTGTTGTCCACTGGTAATCACTTTAATTGTTGCTATGATGTTGTCTATATTAAATTCAAGGACAACATACTTTGATTCCTAAGGGTCATTCATTACTGATAGTTGTTCTTATGTTACACAGTAGGCCTTCAAGACTTTTTTCCACGTTGTTCAGTATGTACCAGTTATCTGATAATGTGACCATAACCTTCCAACTAAGGACCCAGATACACCAAAATTATCTGCCACTTCTCTCTCTGTGTTTATCTGGTGTACAACATTTGAACATTGTGTGCTTCTGTCAAGAATATTTACCTAATTTCAGAAAACAAATTACAACAAATACCCAAACTGAAACCATCACCAGAACAGTCAATCAAATCTAACAATGATGGGAGAGCTATCTTTCCAGTTTCAGTAGGAAAAAAAAATGCATTGAAGCAGCCATGCATTCAGACAATGCAGGCACTAAAATGTTCACACAACTAATGGCAAGTTGATTTTTAAAAACGCACTTGAAAATAATTTACCAATGTCTGCCCCTTTTAATTGTTGTTTTTCATTTGGTGTAATATATTTTGCTATGATTTACTATGTATGTGTTCTCATGAGTTATATTTGGTGTAATAACTTTTGCTATGATTTACTATGTATGTGTTCTCATGAGTTATATTTGGTGTAATATCTTTTGCTATGATTTACTATGTATGTGTTCTCATGAGTTATATTTGGTATTTATTACTTCACTAGAATATTCTAAACTGGCCCTCCTGAGATATTCCATGAAATATTTTGTTACAAGTAATTATGGATTTATCAGATCATCTATATAAGTTAGCATGAAAATGTTTATATCCAGGGATTGAATTACAATTTTAAATTACTTCTACTACTTCACATTCCAGTTATTAAAAAATAAATTCTCACTAAGAATTTCTCATGTCAAGAAAATCAAAAAACAATAAGCATGTAATTCTTAGCCTCAATGTTTATATTAAACGTTTCACTCAAGAGGTTAAATAAGTATCACAAAATACAAACTGAAAATCTGATGTATTAAAAACAATACAACCAGAATTTATATCCATAAAAAAAGGAAAATGTCAATGAAAAGGATCTGTATTAAAATTTTACTCAGAAAAAAGAAAAACACATTTACAAGAAAAAAAAGTGAAGAAATTTATAAAAGAATGGAGCTCAATCAAAACTGGTTTCCAATCTTCTTTCAGGCATATCTCAGTTGTGTAATTTATATAGAAAATATAGGAAGTTTAGCTTAATACGAATATAAACGCATACTCGACAACAATTTTTGTAAACTACAAAACAAATAATCACACCTTCCACAGGAGTCATGGTCAGGAACAATGTGTATACCAAGAGGGCCAGGTCCATTTTTCAGTGTTAGTATCCTGTCACAAAAAAAGGTATTAAAGAACAGTTAAACTAAAATAGCTTTAAATTTTTTTTATTAATATATGCCATGCAAATTACTTACTATAGTTGTAATTATGTTACTAAAGATGGAATTTTATTGAAACCTTTGCACTTGAACAGTTAAAAGAAATTAATAATCTTATATATATATTGTGAACCATGGTGTCTCTCCGAGCATTCATCTGTCTCCTGTTTGAAAAGCTGCATACGCAGGCAAAGCTGAACATTTACTTTTGAAATGATAGGAAAACAGGCACAAATAATGTTGATGCCAAATTTTATTTCACAGGCAGGATATCCTACACTATTTGTTAGGAATTAATCATACTATCATTCAGATTTCAAAACGTGACATAACATAAAGAATAAAAACATAGATTTACCGTATGTTATTATTGAGCGGTTCTTAGCATGACTGAAAT